AGGGATCCCTTTAAATACACTTCTAATTGAAAGTGTGTGTGTGTGTGTGTGTGTGTGTGTGTGTGTGTGTGTGTGTGTGTGTGTGTGTGTGTGTGTGTGTATGGCTCCTCACCTCTAGTTTCTGGGCCCTGTCCCTGCTGAGGGGCTCCAGGGGGAAGCTGAGGTTGTTGGCCTCGGCCAGGGAGCGCAGGTCGAAGTAATACTTGGCGTAAACGCTGGACGGCACGTTGATGTTGAACTGCAGCAGCTCCAGGAACTTTCTCTCCAGCTCATTCCTTCAACATGAATGCATTTTAAGAAAGACAACATTGATAACATATTGCAAAAAATAATAATATTAATAATAATAATTTGCATGTTGCTGAGATGAACAGCTGTTGAAATATTTGCATGTGCAGCAACAGGAAGTGATGCCAAAGGGGATTGCGCTGCAACATCTAACAGCACGGACTAAAAATAATCTAAGATGATTCTTTAGATTATTTTGAGTCTCTATCAGAGAGAGATGACGAAGAGTGWGTGTTCAATTAACATTGCTTCGATAAACCAAAACCAAAGAGTTCCTTTTCTGAAAGAGTTCCCCTTTGATGTCACTTCCTGTTTCACTTTTACTGAGCCAAGTTCAAAAGAATATGCCAGGTATGTGACAAAATGGATAAAATCACGAGGTATTATGTCAAGTTTCTTAAACATAAAGAAGTTTTCTTTGACTTTTACGTCATAGGCACTTTAAATTCTTCTTGACGGTGAAGACGAGTTAAACTCAGTGAAATCTGAATCCTTTGAATCCACTAAACTTTGGCCTTCTTTCACAGGAAAATGTAATTTTATGTAAAAAAAAGAGTATGAAAAGTACTAATCCTAAATCCTGACAGTGCTGTTGTTGTGTATTGCCTCGCGCTCAGCCTCACTGGGATTCTTCCTGTGCGGACGACAGCAGCTTTCATCTGTTTCTCTTCAGTCGCAAACGATTCTTTTCACACTGCAGCTAATATTCATCTCTCTTTCCAGGCTTTGTTCTTCRCCCACACACAGCCATCGAGAAGCTAAAATTAGACCTTATTGTTGCTAAACTCTACTTAATAATGCTGCTTCTTTTTAATTTGCCCCGGCACAAATTCAGTTCATGCATGCCTATTTATTTTTGTGCTTTCTCTGTAGTTATTTTAATGCAACCAAGTGAGAAAAAAAAAACAAGCTCAGAAATCTAAGATCCAAAGTAAGGATTTGAKGAGACAAGATGGTCAGATACTGAGTCACTGTCTGGTGAGTTGCCATGTCAGAGCACAGCAGTGGCACATGTTTAGCTGCACTGACCGGAAATATTTCCCAGCAGATGGGTTACAGTCAATGCTTAATAAATTTGGACAAGAATCTGCAGAGGTCAGAGGTGACAGTACAACCCCAATTCCAATGAAGTTGGGACATTGTGTAAAACATAAATACAAACACAATAYGRTGATTTGTAAATCTTTTTCAATGTATGTTCAATTGAATACACTACAAAGACAACATATTTATGTTCAAATGCATTTATTGTTTTTTTTTTTTTGCAAATATTAATTACTTTTGAATTTGATGYCTGAAATGTGTTCTAAAAAGGGTGGAACGGGGCAACAAAAGACTGAGAAAGTTGAGGAATGCTCAAAAAATGCCTGCTTGGAGCATTCCACAGGTGAGCAGCTTAATTGGAAACGAGTGAGTGTCATGATTGTGTACAAAAGGAGCATCCCCGAAAGGCTCAGTCATTCACAAGCAAGGATGGGGCCAAGTTCACAACTTTGTGAACAACTTTGTGACCAAATAATCCAACAGTTTAAAAACGCAGCAAGGATTTTAAGGACTTCATCATCTACAGTCCATAATATCAAAAGATTCAGAGAATCTGGAAAAATTTCGGCAGGTAAGCAGCAAGGCCAAAAACCATCAATGAATGCCTGAGACCTTCAATCCTTCAGGCAGCACTGCATTAAAAATAGACATCATTCTGTAACAGATATTAGCACATGGGCTCAGGAAGACTTCAGAAAATCATCGTCAGTGAACACGGTTTGTCTTTATATCTACAAGTGCAAGTTAAAGCTCTATCATGCAAAGCCAAAGCAAGATATCAACAACCAGAAACACCGCTGGCTTCTCTGGGCCCGAGCTCATCTGAGATGGACTGACACAACGTGGAAAAGTGTTCTGTGGTTTGACGAGTTCACCTTTGGGAAATCATGGACGTCGTGTCCTCTGGGCCAAAGAGGAAAAGGACTGTCCGGATTGTTATCAGAGCAAAGTTCAAAAGCCAGCCTCTCTGATGGTATGGGGGTGTATTASTGCCTGTGGTATGATTAACCTGCACATCTGTGAAGGCTCCATTAATGCTAAAAGTTACAAACAGGTTTTGGAGCAACATACGCTGCCATTCAAGCCACATCTTTTTCAGGGACGTCTCTGCTTATTTCAGCAAGACGATGYCAAGCCACATTCTGCCTGTGTTACAATCGGTTGAACATTAAATATCTTGTCTTTGTACTGTATTTGATTAAATATAAGCTGAAAAGAATTTGCAAATCATTGTATTCTGTTTTTATTTGTTTTGCACAATGTCCTAACTTCATTAATAATGGGGTTGCAATAGGAACACAGTAACAGCAAAAGTGTACCACTCAGAAAAATTAAAAATAATAATAATCCAGATGATTTGGAAACCAAAGAGGTATTTCTTCATGCGTGCTTTAATTTCCAAGTGATAGTAAATGATTAAACTCTAGTTTTGCAACCATTTATAATTTACGAATAAGYGACAGAAGGCATACCTGACCTTAGTCTGAAGAACTCTTCTGCTCAAGTGTTTTATATATTTTAAAGCACTTCTCAGTACTTCTATGTTCACTAAGCGTTRAATTTCCAGTGACTCACATGTCCTCTACAGTGATGTCCTTGAGTATTTGGCAGTAATCGACATTCCACACCGCCTGGTCGTCCCAGACTTTAGAAGCCAGGAGGATGGCTCCCAGCACGATACGCTTCCAGTTGGCGGGGCAGATGTCGATCTCAGCATAGGTAAGAAGCCTCTCCAAGTATACCTGATACACAGGACGGTTTTCAGTTAGCAACTCAAAAATAAGAACTATAAAAACAAACAAAAAAATCCCAGCAGTCTATTGTTTTCCTTCCTTTTCCTGTTTGCAGCATAATAACCTTTTAMTCCTGTCTTGTCTTCAATCATTTGCTGCTTTACAGGTTTGCAGTCTCCCGCCTTCTCCTCCGTCAAGATGTCAGAGGCTGATGAAATCTAGTTTCCCTGGAGCGCCTTCATAAAAAATCCATGCTGCTCCGTATTCCTCTGCTCCCTCCCTTGGAGTACTCAGACTTCACACAGCCAACACAAAGCTCATGGGGCCCAGTGGCACAAAGCTGATTCATGAGATCCACTGATCATTTTGTAAGAATCAAAGACAGACCGTATTTATCAGAATTCATTCCGTGAAGCACGGAAGCTGTAATCATTTTCTGTATGAAGACATTACACAGTGCAAGGGGGGGRAAACAAAAACAAAGACTCTACTGGGAACAGTAAACAGGCACTGATGTATCTTTACTCATTACTTTATTATATTTTTGTTTTTATGAGACTACATGCTGATTTCCCAACATTTTTAGGCACAACGATCAGTGAACTATATTGTTTCTGCTGTCTAATCTCAGAGGCCTGTAAGTGAAGACACAATATAAATGATATATCTTTAGAGAAAGCCGAGGAGAATCAGGAAGCAGCACTCCCTCCTAGTGTCAACATCCACACATACACCTACCAAAGTGACAATGGCACACTCAGCAGTGAGCTGAGCAGCACTGAACAGCGTCCTGACGAAGCGGTAGATCTGCTTCTGCTCCGGGTCGTATTTGTCATAATCAGCAGGAACTTCAGACTTCTATGAAAAACACAAGATAACACAAGAAAAATGAACAAGACTGCRTCTTATCTGCAGTTCTTTCATGTTGCATTTGACTATGTTCATTTTAAAAGATGAACTACTGTAAATATACTTTAAAGAAATAAATCTAAAACGATGCAGTGGTCTACTGTGGCGACAAGACAGATTTCCTCCTTTGATTTATTCACTTTCTTTATGTTTAATTTGCTGATCGTCAGATTGTGTGGTCTGTCTCGCTGATTAATGTCGACAGGGTTACAGTTCATGTAATGAAAACGTATCTGCAGCTGAGGCCGTACCGAGAGAGGATGCAGCTTCTCATCAAAAATGTCTAACAACATTCGCCCGTCCACGTCTCTGGAATGGAGGAGGACAGAAATAAATTAGGGTAGGATAAAAAGGAGCATGTCACAGGTCTAATTGCTATATGCATGTGTAATAAGCCACTCAGACATTCACCTGAAGTTCATACCGGGTTTTATTTCTAGACTGCGCAAATGGTATGTGAAGACTTATATCAACAATTTCTAAGTATGTGACAATAGCAGCTTAAATGCAAAACTAATGGGGACTTATAGGTGCTCAAGTGTTTGCATGAACTTTCATGTTGGGGAGAATGCAGGTGTTTTAACATGGAAAGAATCCATTTTTTGGTTCTGGCTGAACTAAAACAAGCCCTTAGCTCAATGGTCGGGTCATAATTCAACTGATTTAATCCAACTGGAAGTCATTCAAAAGCTATCTTCAACAGGTAAGATAATAACTGTTCAGAACATTTGTACAAAACTCCACTTTAAAATCCACAAACTATTACTTTAAGTCAAAGGGAAAAACATGAGCTAACGTTAATGTTTATCACAGTAATGTGACAGATGATCATACACTTAAAACGGTAAAATATTTCACATACCTGTTTTTTATGTGATAATATATTGCCAAGGCTACACTGTAAAATAAACAAATAAATGATTATGTATTAAAAGTAGTAAATAAGAACAATGTGGTAAAACCTTTATTTTAATAACAAACTATAGCCTGAATCAATTTCAAGGTAATTAGACGAGTTACCATTTGATGGTGTATTTCAGGTTGGGTTGACTGACAGTGCTGTCGTCCAGAAATATGGTGGAACATGAGCTGTACTTTCTCCTCACTGGTCCTGGATGATGCTGGACACACACAAACACAAAGACACACACAAACATACATTTATGTCAATCTCTCCATTCTATTAAATGAGCCAAAGACCTGCTGACAAACATGGAGAGGAGGGGACCTATACAGAGTCTGATGTGTTAGCATGCATGAGTGGCATTTATAGTGAAGTGCATCTTTAGAGACATCTCAAATGTCTGTCATTTTGCATTTGTTCAAATTATATTTTATGTTGTATTGTGCTTTTTTAGATAAATGATTATTTCACATAAAAACACGTTTAATTCTGATAGGTCCTTAAAAGAACCAGCTAAACATAAAAAAGATATATTTTTATCATGAACCCAAAGGACTCACAGATGAACTGCACCATGTTAATACATTGGAAAACTTAAAAATAAAAAAACAAAAAATATTCAAAAAACAAAAACGGGAACAAACAGGACAAAGATAATGAGCAATTTATGGAGTTTGGGGGTGGAGTGGGGGGGACAAATACAATATGTCTAGTTTATTTTCTGGGATTATGTTTTTTTTACCTTGTTCTCCGAAATGTGAGTGAACTTGTAAAACATACAACACATTAAAATTACTA